AAAACAATTTCAGAGTATAAGACTTGTTCTGTCTTGTTTTAACTTAGAAAATCATCTTCCCTGCCTCGAAGGTGAACACAGATGCATTCCGTGTAGAAGAGCTTGCAGCCAAGTTCAGCCAAAAGTGAAATCTGATAGCTCCCTCAAATGCCTCATTGTTCTGGAGCGGTGGGACACACCCTCCATTATGGCAAAAGAAGCCCAACCATTAACGTCATGCATGTTAATAAAACTTTTGGAGACTTCACAGGGAAGTTTACAATGTGCTTTCTAAACTGTGGTCTTTCGGTGATTGGTCAATTATTTCAAGAGCTTGGACCTTGTGGAACCCATTAGCCGTCCCCAACATAAGCACTGCCATTTGCATCTAGTTACATAAAGAAGGGAGTTGGGGCGGAGAGGTTTTAAAAGCTTATAAACAAGGACACATAAAAGCCCCAGAATGTTTCTTAATGCCAGATCTCCAATCGTAAACCTCTCAAATCATAAATCATCACCGGGGAAGCACATATACACGTACATATATATGTACATAAAAAATACACGCATGTGTGTGTCTACAATACCAGCTCCATCCGCTATGCTGGCACCGTTGATCGCATGGTACAGGACACCAGGAACAGGACTGGAACTTACTGCCAGTCTCGCCTCTGCTACTAACAAATCATCTGACCCGCCAGGATGAGACTTTCTGGGTGCGTTTTCCGCCCCTATTAAAGAAAGAGATCGGGTTCTGTGATCACTGCCGTCTTTCTTCGGATATTTTTCTGACCCCAGGGCTGTATTTAGAATTCTTGAAGCAAGAAATTAGCCACTTTTAAAGACTTGCCACTTTGACCTGGGACTGTCCTGCGTTTTGTCCTTTGCTCTCCCATTAGAGCAGACATTTAAATTAAAATGAAAGGAACCACGCACTGTGTTTTGCCAGGCGGTTTGGGTGTCATGAGGGAGGTGATTATCTCAGCCCAGGGAGGGCTCCCTGGCCAGGCTTTAAAATCAGCGCTTTTTCGCCCTCTGGCGGACGTGGGGTGCATTTGCTCTGCATTGACTGACAAAGTGGAGAGAAAAAGCTCACAGACGTTAAGTCTTAACCAGGAATCGCACCTAATGCAATTTGTTACAGGTTTTCCACTTAAACGTCTTACACGTTTTAATCTTCCTTTCTTCCTCTAAAATAATCTTAAATATTTTACTCGGTTTTAAAAAAAAATCGAAGACTAACGATGAAAAGCTGCAAAGCAGGTTTAAACCAGGGCACGGCCTCCAGGTGAAATACACAAGTGGAAATTAGATGTTTTGTACTTAATATAGGCCCACGAGAATCCTAAAATCAGTTCATTCATGAACATTACCAAGTCAGAACGAGCTGACGGAAGAGGACCAGTGACATCAGCTCTAAGCAACGAGGCCAGGACATTTTGACAAGAAATGTCCATTTTGATCCAGTCCAACATGCCTCGTACCCGCTTTATGTGAAGCTCTTCTGGACACCCCGGGAAAGTGAGCCACGCCCTGGCTCGTCCTCAACGTGGATGTGAGCACCGGAGGTACACGGTGACCGCAGTCTCTGCGCGCATGTCACCCTCTCCGTCTGGACGGCGAGCTCCTGATAGTGACCTTCCTACTCTTCTTACGTGTCTCTTCCCTACAGCTGGAGAGGAATAGGAAGTGCTTGGGGGCAGGGACACAGTTGCAGAGGCTGTGACTTCAGAGGCACTCACAATTGTCTCAAAAAATCACTGCACCAAATAGTCGCGTGTGTGTGTGTGTGTGCGTGTGTGTGTGTGTGTGTGTGTGTTTAAATGAAATCCGGTAACACTGTGCTTGGACCTGGGAGAAAGAATTTTCCACAAGGACAAGTTGTAACAAGACCTGCATTTTCAAGAGAGAAGAGGAAAAAACACAAGCTCAATGAAGTGGCCATGGGGGTCGAAAACAAAAACCCAGAAGATGAGAGCACGCCCCCACGAGACCAGAAGCTACACACCCGACACAGTCACAAGCCACCGCCAAGCACGACCTGAATCTGAGGAATGCACCTTACCCAGAAGACGCAAAGCAAACACACATCAATCCGCCTCGGAGCAAACAGAGACTTCGCAGAAAGGACTTGAAACGAAGCAAGAACTGACGGTCTCAGAAAGATAAGGGAAGACATTGTGCCCAAGAAAAAAGAAAATTATTTTTTAAAGATTCAGATGACGAGGGAGAGAAAGGGAGAAGAAAGCAGCAGGAAGAGCAGGAGAGAGGACAGGAAGCTCTCAGAACTTCGAAACGAGGGCAGAAATGACAATCTTAATAGGAGATTTTAAACACGAAGGTGGATGAATATTATACAATGTTGTAAAGGTGCAAAAAAAAAGGTAATATGTATGAAAAAAAGATGAGAAAATTAGAAAAACAGTCCAAAATGCCCAACATCTGAATAACAAACTATACAGAAAAAGAGTGAGAAGCATAATTCATCAAGGAAACAATTCAAGAAAATGTCCAAATCAAGAACATAAATTTCCAGGCTGAAAGGACCCGTCAAGATCGTAGCAGAAACAAACAAACCAATGAACGAAAAACAGATGCCGACAGACTCACACGGAAGGACATCGCTGTGAAATTCAGAACCAGAATGGAATGGAAGATTCTAGTTGCTTCCTTAGGGCGAAAGTGAAGTTGAGATGGGGAGGTGCGTGCTCCCAGTTTCCTGTCTGCAGGCTTCGCCCCGGAACCGGGAGTAACGGCTCAGCCAGGGGACACGGAGACCTCCCGTCTCTCCGTTTCTGACCTGGAGTGAGCGTCCTTGAAACAAGATGGAACAGGCTCCCGTCAAAATAAACCTGGCCTTGCAGACTCTTCTTTGACAGTCGCTACTGTTCTCAGTTCCTCGACATTTGAATGCGCCCCACAGGTGCGTGGGCCCCCGAGGGGAAGCTTCGATGGCAGGGGCACCGAGGCTGGTCACGAAGGTGACTCTGGCTGGGGCTGGACGCGGGCAAAGACTCAGTGCTGCCGGAGGCCAGTGAGGCCCAGCGGAGCCCACGTTTGTCATAAGGGGCTGCAGGAAACAAATGTTGACTGCCTGCACCGGCACAGCAAGCCCCGTCCAGTTAGTGAGAAGTTCGGTGACCACGGCTCCCCTCCCCTCCCCCGCCCCAGGCGGCCCGAATGACACTCTTGGCCCCAGGCACCCTGACACCCTCTTGGAGGAAGGCCAGGGTGGGCCTTGAAAGACTATAAATGGAGATCCAAGATGCTGAGCATCGTCTCTAAAAAGGGGTGTGCACGACCTAAAACTGTTCAAAGTTCAAATTATATTAAGTTTCAAACCTGATAAGACTAAGTATTTTTTTCTCTACTGGCCAGGAATGGTGCTGTGAGGAAGACCAGATATTTATAGGCAATATAAAGGGACATTTTCCCCTAGCTGTAGATTGCGGGGGGGCGGGGGTGCAGCAGCTCTCCGCTCCCCGCTCATGCTAACAAAATACCAGAGCATGCGAACGAAGCCGCATTTACAGAAGCCCAGAGATTAAAACGAACTCGCCAGGGGATACATCTGCCTGTGCGGAGCCGAGTTCAGTGTCTGACCCCTGGGTTCAAAATTCGAAGGAAAACAACAGCTCGAATGTGAAGGAAGCCACAGGCCTGAAACGCTGTCTCCCCTGAAACAGTCCTATTTCTGCTCAAATCTACGTAGAGTATACTAGGCCAACCTAGTATAGACAGTAAAACGGGGTTAGTTATGGCTTCGCTTTTTGATGAAATTAAATCATTATCTGTCACTGCGAGAAATGTGTCTTTGATACTTCAGACCTTCTGAGGTGCTTTGGATTCTGCTTAGAAGTCCATAATGTGTATTTAAGCAATACATATTATACATAAATATACATAATGCGGACACATGAATACATTCCAACCACTGGAAGTATAGTACGCAGATGCGTTTTTATGTGCATCCCCCAGCATTTCCTTGGTGTAGTCACGTTCCAAAAAGACTCCACGGCCGAAACACTTTTAAGATGCCACACGATTTCTCCTAGGAGAGACTTCCCAGGGAGAAGGGTCAGCGAACGGGGACGTTCCCGTCTAGAAGACAGAGTGGGCAGAGAACACAGACCCGGCCGCGGAGGAGGCGGTGCTGGCCCCGTGCTAAGCCCTGCCCGCCTGGGGGATGCTGGGGGACGCTGGCCGGCCTGGGGGATGCTGGGGATGCTGGCCGGCCTGGGGGATGCTGGGGGATGCTGGCCGGCCTGGGGGATGCTGGCCGGCCTGGGGGACGCTGGCCGGCCTGGGGGACACGCGCTTCAGGGTGGAGGCCGCCCCTTCCGCACGCACCCTCGCCCTGCGCCTTCTGTGAAGGCCGTGGGCGTTCCCCCTGCTGCATCTCCGCCTCCCGTGGTGTCGCCTGGGCCTCTTGCTCCCGCGATGGCTCGGTACCAGCCAGGGCGAGGGGTTCACAGGGCTGAGGGACACTCCGCCAACCTTCAGCGTGTCCCTCTCCCCACTGGTGGCCTGCTCCAGCTGCAAGACGGCCTTAGAAAGGTGCTCATATTTCTCGGCAGCCATGTGTCAAGCTAAAAATTCCGTGACTGTGACAGAGGGTCACAGTCCAATCAGTGTATTGCGGGAACACAACACAACTCACCTTGTAATGAAACAGCCAAGCAAACGATTCCTTGTCATCAGTGTCAGGGTAACAGGCGCGGCCTTATCTCAGACTCACCAAACCCTCCCCCTCGGTGTATGAAGGGCCCACGCGAACCAAGAGCGGTGCTTCCTGGACTAGAAGAACATCCCACTGGCATTCGCAATGAAGAAGGGATGGCAGTCTCTTGAAACGATGTTTAAGACAAAACAAAAAGCCCTCCTCTCCGAGAGCACCCCGATGCAAATGCCCTTGGCGCGGGCGCCCCCACCTCTCCGCCTCCTGCCCACATGGCCCTCTCGACAGGAGCGGGGCTGGGGGCGCGTCGTCAGAAAACCAGCACGCACCCACGACAGCAGAGTAAGCTAGTAAACCACAGCGAGTTTATTCGTTTGCAAGGTACATAAAGAAGGCATTAAATGCTTGTTTGTCCAGGCTGCCAGCATTAGCTTCTCAGAATGTTTAAAGTAATTAATATCGATAATGTAATGAGATATCACCTCTTAAAGAACCCTAACACTATTTATCAGCTTTAAAAATATTTTCAACTCAAACCAATCAATCACATATTTATATACATAGATTCATTTTGTATCAATTAATTACCTATAGTTCTTTTGAAAAATAGTATGAGACAATTAAAACTAAACTTTATTGAAATTTAATTTTCCATATGATAAACCTAATAAGGCATGAAGGTCTCAAAAAGACATTTCCCCCAAATAATATGCAGACTCATTTATCTTAGAACCGGAAGGAATTATAGGTAGGCACCAGGTTCAGCCAACTCCCTAAGACAAAGACAGTTTAGATCAGACTATTGATGTTTCATGACTCACCCAAGGCCACGAAGCTCGTCACTGTTTCTCCTTCCTCCCCAACCCTTTCCCAGCCAGATCTCAAAGCTGGCTTCATGTGCAATCACAAGACATTCAAGGGCAAGATAATTTACTACGAGGTCCTGTTCTAGGATCCACTGTACTTACGTAGTAAGATAAATTAAATCTCTGTAATGAAAATACACAAGCACCGCGACACCTTCCTGGCTTCCGTTCGGACTGGGGAAGCATCGTCCCTACAGCGGGAACACGTGATGGAAAACGGCAAGATGAACACGTTGCTGGACCGCCCAAGTGTCATGCGTCTGGTTCAGCGCAAATCAATCTTCACGTCCGAAGCCGTTTTCAGGGGAAGGGCAGGGATATAAATAAGCAGCATGTAATTCAGAGAAGGTGGGTGTAACTGAACTTAGAGGTTTTGGGGTTGGCTGTCTGTATACTTGACCATGAAGTGTTATCAAGAGGACCAGCCCAGGGCTGTGAGTCACAGACGCAAGTCAGACGCCTTCTGTGGAAGTGTGTCCTGCCCACAACACGCCCCGAGGGAGTGTTCAAACAGCCAGGACACACAGATATGTGCTTCAGAGGCACTTGGCTCTAGGATTTGGGGCCCAGTCATGATGACTAGGAAGAAGTCAGCACTGATGTCAAGGTCTCAGTGAGCCAGGTCCAGGCTCAGGAGAGCCTGGGGGCGGGGGAGGGGTTTCCGTTGATTTGGAAGATCTTTCTGCTTGCTTCTGTACACCTCACGTTTTCTGGAGGTGACAAACCTTGGCAGGGATGTAGTTAAAAACACGTTCCAAGGAAACGTGCATTACACGAGGCCGAACGCGACCACCGGCCTCTCACTGGAGTGTGACCGGACTCGACCTAAATGGGTCCATCGGTCAGAAGCAAGTATGACCTCTGGTCTTTAATTCTCTGCTGCCCGACATGCTTACGTAACAGAAATTTACGAAACTGGACAATCGCTGGTGGCCGAGGTGTATCAAACAACATCAAATCTAATAAATGTGTGATGACAACTAATTACACTCATTTTGGATCAGGCTTAAGACTCCCTGGAGGACCTTTTCTCTGGAGGGGCTGGCATCGACCACGTGGCAGCCGGGGTTCTCCATCCGCTGGTAGGACACTTCCACCCTGGGGACAGGCAGAACGAGAGGAGGTGACACACTTTAATACAGCTCCATGCACTGAAGGATGAGCATCCTGAAGCAAGGTCCCCGTCTGGTTTATCGCCCCGCTCCCCTGGCTACGAGCTTCGCCCACAGAACACATTTGAGACATCGTGTCTAATCGACAGTAAGGTAACACTAGCGTTTAACCGCGAGCATTTACTAAGTATCCATTATCTGCCCAGCGTTAGCATTCTGCACGATCTGCCCATTTCACATGCTGTGAGGTCACAGAGTGACCTCAGGAAGGGACCGTCGACACCCCCATTTTGCAGACGAGGCAGCAGAGGCTCGTTTGAGTAACGCACCCAAGGACAACTGTCCACGATCTGTGCCCCCCAGGGTTTCAGACAAGCCAGAGGTCCTTGGCGCACTGTTTTCACTTATGAAACTTCCAGAGTGTCATCAGAACCCCTCGCGCCCTTTCGGTGCTGGGGAGCCTCGGCGTGCGGGGCCGACGGCAGCGTGGAGGGGTCCCGGTAGGAGCGGGAGCCTGCGGCAGGCGGCCTGGGCCCGCGCCCCGCTTTACCGCTGCTGGCTACGAAACGAGTCACCACCCCCTCCCCCGGCCCCGGTTTCCTCACCCGTAAAATGAGGGCTGAAGTGACGCCGTCCCTGCAAGTGTGTCCTGAGATTCAACTGAATTAGTACGAGTAAACCGCTCAGCGCGGCCTCTGTGCACTGATTCATTTACGTGGTCACTGCACTATGCCGTGACGGGGCTGGCGCCGCCGACTTGTGTAAACTGTTCTGTCGTCTTTACAGACCTTTCCCGAGGAACTGATTCACACTCAGCCACGAAGCAGTGAGATGCTACACACCCCCTGTTCCTGTGCTCATGGCTTTAAACGCATTCAAAACCACTGCCTTAAAATCAGGAAGACTTTGCTTTTAAAATCCAGTTTTACTACTTCGTGCCCATGCGAATTCCGAGAAGTCAGTCCTTCGGGCCTCCGATTTCTAAACTGTAAAATATGGCTGATGTCGCCCTTGCAAGGATGACAGACGTCGGAAGTAACGTGTGTGACACACAGTAAGCACCCCATAGTCACTAGGCGTTCGCCGGGCCCCGCTCTGTGCCTATTACACGGTGACGGCGGAAGCCGACGCCCAGAAGTGAGCGCCACCCAGCCCAGGTCCACGCTGTCCCTGTCACCGCTGGGACTGGGGACAGGTCTGATCCCCGGCAGGACGTCCGTGGCTCTACAACGACAGCCCTGCGGCCCCATCGGGACAAACCCGTCGGAAGGAGCCGCAATAACCCGGAGAACATTAATGTTGCCTCTTGCAGGGCTGGACCTGGCTCTCGCCACGGCCAGGGACCCCCGCCACTCGCGTGGCCCCGAGACACCTACTTTTGACGAAAGATGCTGTTGGCCTCCAGCTCGGCCTCCTCCCGCGTCCTTTCCAGCCCGCGGTCCTGGAGCCTCCGTGCCCTCTCCTCGGGGCTCACGGACAGCAGCAGGACCAGGTCGGGCTTGAGCAGGTCCCTCGGCCACTGGTAGATAGGGTGGCGGGCCGGGGGCAGGTGCTGGAGGCCGCCGCTCACCTCGGTGGCGATGGTGTAGGTGGCCGTGCTGTGCCAGTACCTGAGAAGGAAGAAGCAGCGAGGTGTACGCGGCAGCGGCAGCAAAGGCAGCGCCTGAAAATCAGCCACCGAGGGCGGCGAACCCCGGCTCGAGGGTTCTTAGCATTGCGCCGATGAACTAAAGGAAACTAAATCCTATTTCTAACACTATTTATAAAACGTGAAAAATCCGATCGGTGGCCCCAGGGAGACCGCAGGGGGCGCTTCAGCGAGCTGCCCTTGCTGGGTGGCGCTGAGCCCATCCGCCTCCCTGTGGCCCGACGGTGCGCGGCTTCGTGGAGGAGGTGCCACACCAGCGAGCTGCTCCGTTCGTCCGTGATGCTGCCTGGGCCAGCACCGGCAGGCCATTCAGTCCTACCCTGTTTTAAACTCGAACTTGCCGATGCAACCCTCGTGTGGGGACCCCGGCCGCAGCCTGCGTCCTTCTCAGCCCTGCAGTGTCATGACCGGGCATGGGCATCGGGCAGGGACAGAAAGAAATCCGAACGCGGCCACGAAACGCCGTGCGAGCCCCGAGCGCGGCCGGTCGTGATTGACCGGTTGTTTTAAAAAATGTTTTTGGGGAGAGAAAAAGAAAAATCACAAACACAAAAGAAAGTGAAATCTGCCAGCGAGCATCAGCCTCGCCCTGGGACACGGAACCCTTTGTGACACAGAACCCTTTGTGACACGTCCCAGGCCCTCGCGCGCGGCTCCATCCTCACACTCCTTCCTCGCCCGGGGACCCCGCAGCCCGCAGGCCCCCGTCCCTGGGACGCCCACTCAGCCGAGCCCCGCACGGGCTCACTGTTCCTCCCCCGGGCGCTCCCCGCCGCTCCTTCCCGACCCTAACGAAGCCCGTCTCACTGCAGATCAGAGCTGGGGTTCGGGGGGCTTTGTCGCCCCCACCCCATGAGTCCCTCTCAGTCCGCTCCGCCTGCCAACCCCCGAGGCCAGCGTGCGACACACGGCGGGCGTGCGCTGCGTGTCGCGTGGGGCAGGGGTGAGCGAAGCGAGATGATGAGTCGGCACAGCTCGCCACGCTCTTGCCCGGTTCGTCACATTCGCGTCATATTCCAATTTTACGTGACTAAATGCGAAACTCCAAACCCAGCACCACGGGCTTACGTCCTGGAGCAAATACTTCCAAAACTACTACACGCCCAGTGTGGAAAAGGTGCCCACGGCCTGTGTTTCCAATTTCCTGCCTTCATCGCTTTACAATCCTACATTCTTAACCATTTTAGACTTGAACTACTTTTCACACTGGAAGCGACATACTGCTGTCTATCAAACAAATTCCAGTGTCATCCGAGCTATGTGTCATTTTACCTTCGGCCGCCTACTGGCTTCGTGGACGTTGGTGAGCTGTTTAAGCCACTATGGTCTCAATGTTCTCATCTGAAAAACGAAACTCATGCAAACTTTTTCTTCCACAGTTGTACAAACAGACAAATGCTTAAAAAAACTGTACCGCGCTGTCATCATAAGACATTATCCGCGTCTTACTGGACACTAAAGCCAGACCATTTTAAATTGTGATGACACCATACACTCAGCCCTGCAAAGGACACCTGTCAAAATTACTTGGGAGTCGATCGAGTCTAACAGCACGCGCCTTCGAAGCCCTTGGCCATCTCCCAGCGCACGCTCTGAGCTCAGAACCCTGCCTGGAACGCCCCAGGCACCACTGCCCGGCTCTTGTCACTCAGAGATCACGGCCGCCTTCTCCATCAGGTGCGCCTTGTCTCCCAAGCTGAATAAATCCACGTAGCATCGCGGGCTTTCTTGTCTCGGCAACTGAAATACAATTTGCCCTGGGTTTTGCACATGCTCCACGCTCGCTGAATCAGACACTCAGCTATGAACACAGAGGCTGATAATGTTCTAACATTTAAAAACCTTTATCGTAGAAAACTCACGCACAAGAATAGATTTTTAAAGATAATGAGGGTGATTAAGTTGCCAACCTTAACTACTGTCACCATCAAAAATTACTGTCTCCCTCCCCTTTTCAGCCAGACAGTGGTGTTGTCTAAAATGGATTTCATTCAAATCTTTAAACATGAACAAAACCCCAGACAACAAATAACTGCTCATCTTTTCTTCTCATCTGACAAGGTGATACAGTATCTCCTTAAGAAACAAAATTGCAGACAATTCACAGACACAAAGAAGAAAAATCGGGAAGAATCCGGCCCTGTTTTTCCATGGGTGGGGCTGTCTCACTGACAGTGCTGTGGCTCATTTTAAATCATCATACCCTCTGGCCATCAATTTCAGACTGTCTCCACTATTTAGTATTCTCCATTCCCACCCTGGAAAACCACATTAGTTCAAATCAAACGCAATTTGCCAACACATTATACACAGCTTAGATAATGATGCTTTGTATTTTAACAGCAATTTGCTATTTTCAAAGCGCTTCCCTCTGCATCTACCCATGGGCTATTCATCGCAAGTCTTGGGGGTCGGCAGGGAAGGAATAATGCACACCCCCACTTAACAGATAGGAAACCAGGGGACAAAGGAGGTGTCCACCTGCATGCAGAAGCTGGTGCTGCCCCAGGGAGTTTGGACATCTTAGGAAATAATGTGCCTCGTGAAGTCACACTCTGCTAGGAAACGTTGGGGCTTTCTCCTTCTTGAAATAAAAGGACTGGAAGAAGAGATAGCAAATATGGTAGACTTAGCACTTTAACTACAGGGAAAAAATATTATCCAGGCGAAGAAGTCCCACGAAAGAACGCAGTTCCTCACCCTGTCCTACGATTCTTCATAACTTGCCGACTTTGAAGTAACTGTCTCACCAACCCCAAAGTTAAAACTACCTGCTGGCGTGACAGTTCAGGTATACCGTTTTCCGCCAGTCATCCCCCCCACCGCCCCCAAACCAACGAGCACACACGTTCGCTCTCTGCAGACACGCTGAGTGATCTCTCTATGGAACATTTCTGAGATATCGAAAAGTGTACAGAAAACAACAGCTCAAGCACAGGGTAGAAGTTCTGTTTCCGGACGTGGCAAACCAGCTTTTTAACTGACCAACTTATCCACCGGAAACCAGAGGAAAAGCTGGAACGAAGGTCAAGACCTGCGACGCTAAAGGCCGGTGAGGATGCGGCCGGTGAGGATGCGGCCGGCGAGAACGCTCGGACACCGCGGGGGAGGGCGCCCGCACCCATGAGGACGAGGTCCTCTGCTTGTCCTGACGCAGAGCGCGCTCCCTGCGCATCTGCGTTCAGTTCACGCACAGGCAGGACTCCCCTGTGCTGATGGAGTCACACACTGGTCAAGGTGGGGGAGGATGGCTGGGGGCGGAGCAGGGTGCGGGCTCGCGGGTGAGGGCAGCCGCTACCTCCTGACATGAGTGCAGGCTGGACTCCGTTGTGTTGGCTTCTTGAAATTCATCGAGGGTTACACTTACGATGGATACCCTTTTCTGAACACTTGTCCTACTTCAACCGCTTATCTTTCCAAAAATGAGTAAACTGCAGACAGAACGACGAAATGAATATGTTGCATGAATTCTACTGAACCTGCTTCTGCTGCTTGATTTTGCTCACTTGAAACCATGGCCTCGTCATTTATGCACATTGGTGCAGTATACTAGCTTATATTGCTGTTGGGTGCTCCATTCGTAAATATGCGGGAGTTTATTTACTCTTGTTTTGATGGGCTTTCGGTTTCTCAAAGTTAGCGACACTGTGAACAAAGCCGAAACAAACTCTGGCGAGTGTCTCTGGCTTTGCTACATCTTTTCACATTGCTCAGCCCCACGCCCACCAGCGCCAGACAAGCACCCTCGCCATCTCCAGCCCTGAGTATGAGCGCACTTGTAACTAGTCCTCACCAACCTGGCGAAAACAAACTGGGACCCCATCGCAACGGTCACTTCCCTATCGCCGTGGCACGGTCAGTAAGCCTGCACGACTTACTTGCCATACCCTTTGTCCATTTTTGTGGCATTTTAAAGCTATTCTTCATGTATAGAATTTTAAAAACATAACTCAGTTTATGTCCCTTCTTCCGATGGCTCCCCACTGCGCTCAGGATCAATGCCATGCCCTCCCGTGGCTGTAGACCTCGCCGATCTGCCCGCTGCCTCTTCTCATTCATCCAGAAAGCACCCCCCGTCCACCGCTTTCATCGCCCTGGCCGGTTGCTAGTTCTCGGGTATGTTGGCTTCTTCCTGTCTCTGTGCTGTTCTTCCTGGTCCCTCTCTCCGAAAGGCTTTCTGTAACTTTGTAACTTCCCGTCGTCTCTCTGTCATTCAGAGCTCAGGTCGGTGGTCCCTCCTTGCCTAGGCCTCCCTCCACCATATCTAGTGGGGGTTCACCATTCCCCCCACACGGTCTTGATTTAGCCTCTCCACAGTACAGCGTTCTCTGACCTGATCTGATGTATTTACGGCTTCACTTATCGCCTGCCCCTTCGACGGCATGTCTGCTCCATGAAAGCAGAACAGTGACTAGCTCGTTTGCCGTCGAATTCCTTAAACTGGGAACAGTCTTTGGCATACAGTAGGTGCCCAATAAATGTCCGTTGACTAAACCAACGAACAAACGAACCACTGAAAGCACTGATTTGTGAAGCACAGAGTTTGGTGAATAACCCCAATATGCTATTTCTAGCTCAGTCACTTTGGCAAGTTCCTTAATAGACCTAAGTCATCATAGGTCTATGTCACAGACCTATGTCATCAGTAAATTGGGAATAACATTTAACATCCATCCAGGCAAGTCATTGTTCCAGGTATTAGTATAATATATTTAAAGTTCTT